GAAGTGAAGAGATGCAAATTTGCAAGGTGTAGCAAATGACATCATGCTCTACCTAGCTCAGGAGGGAAGTGTTACTGCCTGGCTGTGCAGAAGGGTTCAGTGGCAGTCACAGCTGTTGATGAATGAAGTTGTGTCCACAAAGAAGGTGACTCGTATATTTATTCATGTGAAACAGGCTGCCAAGGACTATGGGATTGTGATGATAACCTGGATACAGATGTTCTTAGAGTAGGCATCAGTCTTAAGTCACAACAGCCAGTCAATTTGCATTTCTTCACTTGTGCTGGGACTCAAAGCCACACTACACTACTGATTTGGAGAAAATCACTTCAACTCTAGGCCTGAAGGTAAATGCCCCCTTTACTGGACTCTGCATATTCACAAGATGTGATTCTACAAGTGCATTCTATAACAAGGGAAAAGAGAAAGGCACTGTTGTGGCTTCTCAGAGTGAAGAGTTCCTGGATGGTTTCCCGTATCTTGGGAAAGACTTTTCACTTCAAGACTCAACTTTCCTGGTGTTTGAGAAATGTGTGTGTCATCTGTATAGCTAAGATTCACTTTAGGATGTCAGTGATGCCTGATACAAGGTGTTTCATCTTCATTGCCTGAAGTGAGCGTCCCACAAGCATGTAATGCTCTAAACCAGGCTGGGGCAAAATACCCTCCACAGGCCGGATCTGGCCTGCCAAGCCGCCAGATCTGGCCTGTGGATGCAGCGGGGAGCCTCAGGAAGACTCCTTGTCTGCTCCTTCTCTTCCCCCATTGCGGTGCTCTGTTTGAACAGCTGTGAACTGCGAGGAGGGGAAAGAGGCTTTGTGTGTTACCCCCAACCCCAGCACAATCCCATTGGCCAGTTACCAGCCAATGGGAGCTGCCTTTTGTCAACAGCCAGCTTGCGAAGAACCCTCTCTCTCTTTCCTCAGGCTCATAGCTGTTCAAAAACCACATGGCCCTTGCAACTAGTGTAAGGGTGGGGCAGGCAGGCAGTCTGAGAAAGTTGTAGGTTGGCTGGGAGTCAAGCAGGTAAGTCTCCCAGCCAGAGCCTGCCTCTGGCACCCCAACCCTCTGCCCCCCCACCTCACAATACCCAAAACCTCTGCTCCCCTCCTGCCACCATATCTGCTCCCAGATTCTGCACCCTAATCCCCTGTCCCAGGTCACAGCCCCCTTCTGTTCTAGGTCACAACCCAAACCCATATAGATGACACACACATTTCTCAAACACCAGGAAATCTGAGTCTTGAAGTGTAAAGTATTTCCCAAGATATGTGAAAGCATCCAGAAACTCTTCACTCTGAGAAGCCACAACAGTGTCTTTCTCTTTTCCCCACTCATAGAAAACACTTGGAGAATCACATCCTGTGAATATGCAGAGTCCAATAAAGGGGGCATTTACCTCCTGTACCCCTACCCCACATAACCCAAACCCTCCATCCCCCACCTGCACCCATATCCCCTTCCAGATCCTGCACCCCAAACCCCTGCCCCAGATCACAATCAGTGTTCACTGTAAACTCAGTGCTTGTGCAGGCACCAGGAGACATTCAAATGCTGCTCAGGTGATTAGCAGAGTGCTCACAGTGCCCAGAGCCAGCAGCATGTATTTCTACTGGTGGTGCATATCTGCACATGCCTTGGTGCACATAACGAAAATTATTCCACCCACGGATGGAAAAGCTTAGAGGGTTATAACCCAAACCCTTGTTCTCTAACCCTGGTCACAACTGTCTTTCACCCAAACTCCCTCCCAGACCCCACACCCTCTCTAGCATCCCAATCCCTTACTGAAAGCTTTCTTCTGCACCCAACCTCCATCCCAGACCCCACATCTCCTCCATTAATATGAAAG